TGATGAGATGGGTTCCTGATGAGCTGCTGGCTGTGCTGTGATGGTCCTGGCAGCAGCTGGGTCAGGATATTCACTGAGTTACTCCTCCTGCCATGGTTAGTGCTTCCTTGGTGTGTGCAGACGAGCTTCTTATCACTTAACCTCACACAATCCAAGAACAGAAATCTCCTGAGGCATCTGTCTTTGGAGGTGGCATACGTCTGCACTGGTATTACTTAACATATCATAGCAGATCATTGGAATTGCTGTCCAGAAATGCATCATGATTAGGGGAAAACCTGCAGTGTTGCACGGCCAACGGCTTCACTCAGGGCTGCTATCACAGTCTTGTTTCTCAGACTGTAGATGAAGGTATTTAAGAATGGGTACAGGACAGTGTTCAGCAAAGCTACAGTTCTGTTTGTCTCCAAGGAAACATCTTCCAAATGATGCACGTAGAGAGCAATGTAGCTCCCATATGCAATAGCCAAGGAGGTGAGATGGGAAGAACATGTGGTAAAAGCTTTTTTCTTCCCCAAGGCTGCTGGAAGGTGTAGAATACAGAGGAGAATGACTGTGTAAAGTGCCAGAGTTAAGCATAAGGAAGCCAGTATGACAAATGATACTAAACCAGAGTCTATTTTCCAAAGCTGGCTGGTGTCAGAGCAGGACAGTTTGAATAAGGGACAGTTGTCACAAAAAAAAATGGTAGATCTTGTTTGAGACACAGAAAGTCAGCTGGTAGAGAAGGACCCGACAGTAACTTGAGAGTGTGATGCCCATGACCCAAGCAGCAACAACCAGCTGGATGCAGAGCTGAGGCTTCATGACGGCAGCATAACGCAAAGGCTGGCAGATCGCAACACAGCGGTCAAAGGACATAACAACAAGTAGAACAAATTCTGTACAGCCCAGGGCAAAATAGAAATAGGATTGGGCAAAGCAGCTGCTTAGAGAGATGGTTCTCCTACCAGAACCCAGGATCAGAAACAATTTGATGCTTGTGGAGGATGTAAACTAGATTTCCAGGAAGGACAGATTGCTGATGAAAAAGTACATGGGGGTTTGCAGGCGGTGATCCACACACACGAGGAAAATGATGGTTGCGTTCCCCATCACTGTTGTCAGGTAGATGAGCAGAAGGGCCAGAGAGAGAAATAGCTGTAGTTGTCGATCAAGCCCCGAGAAACCCTCTAGGGTGAACTCAGTAACCGCAGTTTCATTTTCTGGTCCCATGTGGAATTTCAGTTCATCCTGCTGAGACTGGAGCACAGCAACAAACATGTGTGGTAATGTCACAGTCTGGGTGAAAAGTTCTTCCTTTTCTGCTTCTTTCCTTTCTAGCAGTCTTCCTCCATAATACAGGCAGAGAGAGTCCTTCGAGCATTTCTCACACCCTGATTTGTATGTTTTACATTTCATTTAGTCCTCAGAGAATCTGTTGTCTTTTTTCTGCCTTTTTCAAACACTCACAAAGGATCCTTTCTCCAGAACAGAAGATTTTCAAGAGGCTGTTAGCTGTTTCACCCTATTCATGGGAAATACCAAATTCACTCAGACCTGTTGCACACCTCTCACCTACGAGCCAGACTCATTTCTTCTATTGCACGAATGCTAGACCATCAAATCAAACCACATCAAATCCGTATGCTGAAAGCTATGCTTTCTACTTTTCAACGCTTGCCTTTTTGGACTAGGAATCCCTGAGAATCTCTTGATTCCAAAATAAGTAATATCAAGTATCTCTTTTGTAATTCCATGCTTTCTTCCACAGCTTCTTGCTCTCTGTTTCCTCAGCAAAGGGGGAGGGGGTGGAGTAGGGACCAAGTATCACTCATCTTCTTTAGTGCTCTCAACAATGACTGAAATTTATGATGGTTCCACACAGTCTGTCACACAGTCTTGTCTGACATCCGCCTGCACTGAAATGCCGTTGTTTCCAAGCAGTTGCTCATTGATGTTACTATCAGATGTCCTGACCTAAATGCAGAGCAAGAGAAGAGTATCTGGAAGAGATTTGTAACCTTTCTTTCGCATGCCAGTTATAGGTTGGGAGGACCCAGCCTCTAGTGCTTCCTCTTGTCTCCACTGTCTACAGAGGGAGCCTTGGGAAAACAAGTTCTCACAGGCACCTGGAGGTAATTAGATGAAACTCACTATTCCAGTCTCAAATCTCTGGTTTATTAAGTTAGTGTTTTTTCAAAATGAAAATGCTCATCTAGCAGAAGGAAGCACAAGAAAAATACACGCAATAAAGACTGACATTTTCCCCTTCATCTTTACTTTTGGTTTTGGACATAGAAAGGAGCAGAGCAGGTGACTCTCTGCAGGGTAGGATTTGCATAGGTTTTTATGCAAATATGTGTAAGTGTTTAAGCCTTCAAAACACACATTTTATGTTACCATTGTTTCACTTAATGCATATTCTCTGCTGGACTATTTAGAGATCACTTACGAGCATCTTTGTTTACAGATTAAGTTAATTAATGCAATTAATACAGCAGGGCACAGAGATGAAACTTTTTTTTATCTGCTCCAAACACATACAAGAGTCTGCTGGTGTCAAATGGTGTGACATGGTTGAAAGCCAAGGCAAGTTTGTTGACAACTTAGCTAAGGTTCATGAACATTTCAGATGAACCTCCAGTAAATTTTCAGTACACTTGGGCTGATAGAATATTTCCCTTTAAGTAACACGAAAAGAGCCACTTCGAATCCCTTCCAAACTACAACTGTGTGAATAAATGATTTTTCAAGTTCACCTGTAGTTACGAATATTCCAGGGTAACATAAAAACACCCACATTAGAAATAGCACATTGTCCAATCCTCCCCTCTCCCACCCAAAGCACTGTTTCATTTCAATTGCATGTATTGAACATGAGCCTTTAACATGAGCAACAAAAGTTTGGAAAGAAAAGACTTGATGAACATGGCAACTCCAGTGCTCTCTACAGGATGCATGACATCTTGGCCATGAGCAACCCCATGGTTCAAATGCCCTCTTAAGGCTTTTGGAGCAAGGATTTAAACACTGGCCTTCTGCTTCCCAGACAAGTGCACTAACTCCATGGCTACAGGTTACACTGGAGGAGGACTCTCAATTTGTCATATCAAAGTCACTCCAAGATTACGCTAGGGTAAACAGGTGTAGTAATGACTGCACTGCATGACAGTCAGCACACCCCATCAGGAGAGTGACACTTTGGTCACAGCCCTTGTTCCACTGACTGATCCTTCACAGATAGTTAGAGCAATTGGCAAAGAAATAAAATAATGATACTAGGGGAATTCACACTGAGTATTTATAGCTCAGTCTGATACATCTAACAAAACTGGAGAAAATAGTATTGATCATTGATTGATTCAGGGCTTTATTCCATATACCAGACAGAAAACCAATGCCAGACACCGTGAACTCGTTAATGGTGATTTTCTTAAGGCTCTTTGCCAGTTGCTGCAGTGTAGCTTATTTGCAGTGTGAGGGTAACACGTATCTGATATACACTTAGTTAATTAGTGTAAGTTGGAAATGCAGCTTTGCACTTCTTCCTCTCCTGCATATGTGAACATTGCTACCTGTTAAGACTGGAGAGTAACCTTTGGAGAACGTGGTGATGAAGTGCAGAAAAATGCTCTGCTCCAAGGAAAATGACTGTGCGAGCACCCTTCAATTCCAGCAATGCTACTTTACAGGCCAAGAACACTTCTTACAATTTAAATCCAAACAATCTCAGCTTTTCCTGACAGATAGTATCTGAAGTAAAATTTCTCTTGGCTTCACAATACAATTAAGGTGGGAGGAGATCTCCAGAATGGTCCAAGAAACATTCTCTTTAAAGAGGCACAGGCAAAGACCCCGTGGGAATGATGCTGGCTCTAAAAGCTCCCTTAATATGCAAAAAGGGAGAACTATTTCCATAATGCTGCAGGCCATACCAGTGTCTACAGTTAATAGAAGTTCACTTTGAAGAATATGGATTGTAGGCAGTCATCGAAGCCACAAATAGAAATACCTGATATCAGTCTGGGGTGCAAGACCCAATATTCTTTTGAACTAAGAAAGCTCTACATTGTTTTAGCTGAGTATAGAGAAAAAACAAGACAAATTAGGTGCTGATACTGAAAACTCAATACATGCCCTCATTTGTTTATTTATAAAACAAAATGATATCTAAAAGGCAACTCCATTCTCGTTTTTTGAGGTTGTGGAAGACATTTTTTAGTGTCTTGTCCAATAGGAATAAAGCTTTAACTGCTTCTGTCCTTATCTGTTACGAAGGGCTTTCATCTGCAGTGAGGGCGACACAAGGAACGGCTTCCTTGCAGGCTGTGGTATCTGCTATCACTGAAACCTCTCACAAGAGTCCTTTATAAAACTGGAAAGAAAGCCCAGGGAGTTCATAATATATAGAGAATAGCAAAGCCCTTACGTAAATGAATGAATGAGTGAATGACTTGTTACGGTAAATACAAACTACTTGAATACTGAATGCTTGCCCTGAATGCAACTCCAATAGAAACATTTGATTTTACTGCTAACAGTACTTATCTCAAAAAATCAAAAGGCAGCTAGCATTGTTGGAAACTGGAACCTTACAGATGTCTAAATATACTGCCTTATGGTAACTGCAGAACCAAGATTATTATTTTTTTTCCTTTTTCTGACTGACTTCTTTTCAAGTTGTGAGTGGGCGTATCTTAATTAATCCAATAATGATTTTTCAGATAGTGATTGATGTAGTTTAAACCTGGCCGGCAGCCAAGCACCACACAGCTGCTCACTCACCCTCCCCTCCCTCGGGGGTGAGGGAGAGAAATGGCGGGGTAAAGCTAAAGAGACTCATAGGTTGAGATAAAAACAGTGTAAATTTTTTTTTTTTTTTTTTTCAGTAAAATACAAAGGAGTAATGCACAATGTGATTGCTCACCACCTGCCCACTGATGCCCAGCCCATTCCTGGCCAGTGATCCCAGAGAAGTGAAGATCCCAAAACTGCAATCCCAGAAGCGAGAGCCCTCCCTTCCTGACCACCCCTCCTCTATACACTGAGCACGACATTACATGATATGGATTATTTCACTGGCTAATTTGTGTCCAGTGCTCTTGCTCTGCTCCCTCCCAGCTTCTTGTGCACCCACACACAGGCAGGACATGGGGAGCTGGAGAATCTTTGAGGTCTCAGCAACAACTGAAAACATCAGTGTATTAGCAAGATTCTTCTCCTACCACACCCATTACTGAATCCAAAGCACATCACTACTCCAGCTGCTAAGAAGGAAAATTAATTCTATCCCAGCCAAAACCAGGACAGTATCCACTCCTGATTCCATACCATTTATGTTATGCTCAGGTTCCATGTTTCCCAGTACGTTCTAAGGAATCACCATCCCATTTCCTGGTTTTTGAGGTATACACACAGATATCATTCCCTTAGGCTCTAGGCCATCCCTCCAACATGTATAGTGAGTTCATATAGTCCATAAGTGGGGTCCACTGTCACGACAGTCTTTTAAGTCAGGCGGGGTGATGTGGCGTTGGTTCGGTGGGTGGAGCGGGTGGTCTTGGGCACAGCAGGAGGAGGGCACGTAGCCTCTGCTACATCTGGAGCTCCTAGCAGCTGTATCTGGTGTGGTCCATGCTCACAGATTGCGAGCTGAAGATGTTGATCTCAAGGAAGTTGCTGGGCACCAATTCAGTCCTGAATCTATCAAAGTTCATTTCTCATTAACCTGGGTGATTCTTAATATGATGTCGTTAGTATAATATATACCAACCGTAGTGATGACCATCTTCAATAACAGGGTTATTTAGCAATTAACATCATACAGTTCAATTCATCAGCTATTTTTACCCAAAACCAAATCCCCTTGAGGCACACATTTGAATTCCCCATCCTTCTGCATTACCCACCAACTGCACCCGGGTCCTTGGGCAAAAATAATCCCACGCATGAGTTTACCTTTACCAGAGGCAGGAATAACCCAGACTGTCTTCCCCTGCATAATTTTAATGTGCCCTATGGGGACTTTATCTCCATCTACAGTACGTAGAAGGTTTGACTGGGCAGGGCCATCCTGGTTGGCAGATTCTCTAGTATCTAAAATCCTGTTCACCTAATGTCTCTGATTTTGGTGCACTAAAATGCCAAATGTTTAGTCTAATGACTTTTAATTGTACAAGGAATCACTAGGCGTTCCTCCACAGTAACTGAATTACTGAATTCTAGTTATCTTGAAAGAAACGGTATGGGTTCAGCTTGTGTTCTCGTTTCACTACTAAAAAAAAATTGAAACTAAGCAAAACAATTCAACAAAAAGCGGTGTAAACCAAATACTGTCGATGTTCCCCACCCTGCAGCCCTTTACTCAGAAGCCTTTTCACTTGTGTGATGAAAGGCACACGCAGACCCACAGAACACACGGTGGGAGAGCACACTCACCAAAAAATACTTACATATCCCACAGGAGTATCTTGAATACCGACTTTCTGAAAAAGGAGAACATTTTGTATCCGTTGCCTAATCACCACCGGTAGAATGTTTTAGGTGACATGAACATGTTTGAATGGCTCAAACACATTCAGTGCCACTGCAGGCAGGACACCTCACCATCTACTGAGGGCCTCTGCGGCCCTGGGAGGGCAAGAAGCCGGAAAGGCTGGCAGCACTGAAGGCTCATTTCACTGTCATTAGACCCTGAAAGCAGTTAGCTTTCCCAAGGAAATAAAATGACTTCTCTTGCATTTAATATTTGAAATGTGATTTAAATGTTAATAATTAATGTCAGAATACTTTTAATTTCTATCAGTGAAAGCATATGCTGCAGTCTATTCCATTTCCAGTGGGAAGGAAACTGTGGGCGCTGTAGTCTTTTGTTATTAAAGCATTACAGTAGCAGTGTGAGTCAGTAGAAATGTGAATTTGTCACAATTTCCTTGTCGGATAATATTTACAGTGTTTCAGAGTGTATGTATGCGATCAGCATTTTGCACCCACTTGGAAATTGTATCTGGACATCTCCTTTCATGGTTTGAGTTCACAAAGGCCTGGTTCCTTCAGTGCTGGTGAGGTATGAAGCCTAATACAGCTGCCACGGATCTGTCCCATTTACTGTTCACAGTCACACTAGCAACTTCTGCAATGTTTGTTCTTTATGATAGCTATGCCATTGCAATTCAGAGTATAAGAAAGCCTTTGGGCAAGCCAAGAGTGCCAAGATCTTTAGTTTATGATGGTCATCATTGTTTCATCAAAAAACATTGAGACATATCAAAGCAGTATCCTAGAAAAGTAGTACACGGGGGGAAGGAAGGTGAAGGAAGACACATGCTTAAAGAAAGTCACAAAGAGCTGGGCCAAACGTCTACACTACATCATGCATTGGCTTTCCCCTGCTCCCTCCCTTTTCTGAAATCCAGTGGAGCTGAAAACAGTATGCACATCCACCAGAAGAACAGAAAAGTTGACACAAGAAAAAAAGAATAAAGTAAAAAAAGCCCTGCACAGATAAAGCCACCAGAAAACAATTATTTAAAAATCCCACAGCTTTTAGAAACACTTAGCAATTTTAATATATCATAAAAGAAACTGGCAAAAAAAAACAATTCAAAGAGCATAAAAGAGAAAAAAGAACTACTCATCTAGCACTATCATAAAAAGTGAAACAAAAATGTTCCCGCTAACAGCCCAATTTGCCGCTTCCCGCCCCCCCGCCCCCAGGAGACACCCCCCCCCCCGCCCAAGGGGCTCGCTCCCCTCACCGCCACCCGCCCCGCCCCGCCCCGCCCCGCCCCGCCCCGCCCCGCCCCGCCCCGCCCCGCCCCGCCCCGCCCCTCTCTCTCCCGCGCACCGCGCCTGCGCCGGAGGGGCCAGAGCCGGCGCGCGACCGCCGGGCTGCAGGACCGCGATCGGCGCGCAGAGCGCCCGGCGGCACCGCGCACGGGGGGGGAGGGGGGAGGGGGCGGCGGCGGCTCCTGACCGGGAGGAAGCGACGGGCGAGGCGGCGCCGCTCCGCAAGCACCGCCGCGTCACGGTGCCGGTAACCGCGGAGGGAGCCGCGATCGCTGCAGAGGGCGCCCCCACCGCGCAGGCGCGGCCCCGGGGCTGCAGGACCGCATTATCGGGGAGCAGCCGGGAGCCCGCAGGAAAACACCCAAAACCGGCACCAAAACTGCACCTCGAGCCGCGCTGCGGGGCCCGCGGCGGTAGAGAGGGCTGCGCCGGGCCACGCACCGCAGAGAGCAGCGCAGCTGTCCGGCGGCCGGGCCCGCGAAAACTACAGCTCCCGGCATGCCCTGGGGCAAGCACAGGATGGCGCCCGCCGTCCAGTGCGGGAAGACTGCAGCTTTCATGGAGTAGATGATGCAAGAGTTATCCTAGCCTCTCTCATCAGCGTGTTTACACAACTTCTCTCCAGACTTTTAGTTTTGTCCATCTCAAGGTAATGGAAAACTGAATCCACATGTACAGAAGTGGAGTAAAAAAAGAGTGGAAAGGGCTGTCTTTAGGAGTAAAAGATTATTGAATAGTTTCAAATATTTAATTGTACCTGTAGATGTAAGAGATAAAGAGTCATCTTAATGCTGATACAGGGTTCAGAAAGAAAATTCTTTAAATAGTTGTAATTTGATTTATTAATCAAATGTTTAGTCCTGGAAGAATGTAAACTCATCTAATCTACTGGTATCTTAATATGCACTATGTTTGAATTAATAAAACAGAGAATTGGAAGAGCCTCAAACAAGCTACTCTCTCTAGTCTGTTGGACTAGTGACATGAGTTCATGGTTTTGTTTGTATTAGTGCATCATGCTACATTATTCCCATAATTTACATCCAATTTACATCCATTCATACTGCTAGATTATGCAGGATGTTACAACCTGTCATTGCAAATGCATTATTTGTTTCAAATTAAATCAATTTCACTCAAGAATGAAGTTTGATACTGGGAGCGTGTTGTGGTTTAAACCTGGTAGGCAGCTAAGCACCACACAGCTGCTCACTCACTCCCACCCATAGTACAATGGGGAAGAGAATTGGAAGGATAAAAGTTCAAAAAATTGTGGGTTGAGTTAAAGACAGCTTAGTAGGTAAAGCAAAACCTGTGCACGTAAGCAAAGCAAAACAAGGAATTCTCTCACTACTTTCCATCAGCAGGCAGGTGTTTAGCCATGTCCGGGAAAGCAGGGCTCCATCCCAGGTAACGGTTACTTGGGAAGACAAACACCATAACTCTGAATGTCCCCCCTTACTCTTTTCCCCCAACTTTTATTCCTGAGCATGACATCATATGGTATGAGAGATCCCTTTGGCCAGTTGGGGTCAGCTGTCCTGGATGTGTCTCCTCCCAACTTCTTGTGGGCCCCCCGGCTGCCAGCTGTTAGGGCAGCGTGAGAAGCTGAAAACGCCTTGACGCTGTGTAAGCACTGCTCAGCAATAACTAAAGCATCCCTGTGTTATCAACAATGATTTCAGCACAGATCCAAAACATAGCATCATACAAGCTACTACGAAGAAAAATAAAACCAGTACACAATGCCAGTCTCAGACTGGCAGAGTGCTAAAAGGGTTTGGATTTTAAAGCTAGAGTTGTTTTTCTTTTTTAACCATTAAAAGCTTGAAGCAGTCACTAAATGACACTGGTTCTACAGTGACACGCTACCTGTTACTTGTCAGCCTCTACTCAGCGAACTCCTGTGGGATTTCTGTCTTGCTTTAACATTATCTTACACTCAAGGTGCAAGGACTGACTCCTTTTGTTTTCTGGTATATCTTCATTTGGTTATACAAGACTTGTCCTTGTATCAGTCATTATTTGGACCATGAAGAGATTAAAGTGAAATCAGACTATTGTTATTTCTATTCCATTGATTCCAATTAAAGAGATGAAAAGGCTTTTATTTTACTATTCCCCACAAAATTGTATAATATAGTCTACAATCAATAGATGCTTTCAAAAGACACACTATCATCTTGCTCCCTTCTCCCTGGAAGCCAGTTCTGTGTAGATACAGCTTTCTGTCAGCATGAAAAAAAAATGGCAAGGAAGGCTTGATTTAAACATGTCATTGCTAAATAGGGAAAACTACTCTGTCTTCTAGAATATGAGCTCCTGTCCTTCTCAGGGGAGCTTTTAAGATTCACAATAAATTAGATCAGTTGGTAACTGAGTTACTTTAATTAAGATACTATCATTCTGTATTCTTTCTGATTAATTCTGATAAGATTTTAATTACTTTGTTTGAACATCCATAATTTTTTGGGGGGGGTAAATAGCCTTTGAAAAACATTCACCACAACTGTCTATGAACAATTTAATTGCAACGTCCAGTCTATCATTTTAAATTTTACCATTTAAAAATCTTAGCTTTAATCCTTATGATTCATCTATTGTCAGGTTGAGTTTTATTATTCAAAAATATAATTTCTAGCTTTGATGAATTAGTGTCTAAAGGCTAAATTGATACATCTGTGTCCAAAGGCAGTTCACAAAAATTCCTTATCCAACAACTATAAAAATGTTGCTAATCACACTATTCAAAATCTGTAGCCTGCCTCTTAGATTTATGAAGTTCTTCTGTATTCCCACTTTCTTACTTGCTCAATCTTTTTCATAAACACCATATTTGAAAAGTCACACCTGGTAAATTCCCAGAACATTCTATTCACATTGAGTTCAACTCTGCAAAGTAAAACCACTTTGGCAATAGGGAAGGTGAACATAAGAAAAGTAATAACTTGGGAGGGATCCTTGAGAGAATGCATCGTATTATTATGCACTAAAACCATTGCTCCCTCTACCTAAGCTACTCTACATGTTTCGTAGCCATCAGAAGACCTAGCACATTTCATCCTCCACTGTTATGGAAGATGGTCTCACAAAAATATCTGAGGGTTTGCCAACTCATAATATCTTGACTGTTAGTTGCTTGAGTTTCCAGTCTTGTGCTGTTTGGGATCTGGCAGTCCTAATGTTTACCAAGACAAAATAAATATAAATAACAAAGGAAGCATGAGAAATTTGCTTTGGAGCCATCAACAAGGAATAACAGTAACTGACTGTGTCCTGTTTTGGCTAATGCTATTGGTGTAGTATTCTGGTACTTCCCCCAGATTCACTTACCTTTTTGATGTCTTTGCACAGAAGGAATCGTGAGGAATTGGAGTGAAAACTTGCTTGTAGTGTGCGTGATGCCACTGGTATCGTAATGCTAGTAAAAATCCATTTCAGTAAATGGCATTTTTTTCTTCTAGCTCTTTTGAAGTGAGCCCAGGTGATGAAATCTTGACAGTGCTACAGACAACAACTGTTGATTTGAAGGAATTTGAGAGAGAAGCAGCTTGTCTTCCTCCAGAGGATGGTGAGCCGGATGGGGGGTGGACTATTCCTATCACAAATGAGTATTTGTTGGGGAAGAGGGTGAATGTTCACAGCACTGTACCAGTCTCTTTATCGATTTAGTCTCCTACCATGTGACTGCTGGAGGTGTTATTCATGGGCCATCATTTAAGATGAAGGCAACCAGTTCGTTTGTATAAGCTCGGGGCTGTGAATTGGCGAAATACGCAGTCCAGTTTGTGGTTTGATACCACTAGATTGATAACACCATGCACACTTATACCAGATCAAGTCCTTTGTGTCAACTGGATACCAGACAGGAGGTATTTAAACATTTAAGAATAATAATAAATCAATTCCAATACTGACAATACAAAGTTAATTACTATCTGGTCTACTCTGATGGCCAATACAAGACCAGCATAAACTTTATATAATAGGTTCTTTTCACTCATGTCACAGGAATGCAGTTGTTGCCAGCGTGCAGCACAGGTCACATCTGGATTTCTGAATGATCCCTTAGCATGCAAATCCAACATTCAGCATTAATGATTGTAGTGGAAGGTCTCCCTTTATAGTGTAAGCCTTTTCTTCGTTCATTTAGTGGCAGAAGGTTTACCTGTGGCTACAACAATTTCTGCTAGTTTGAAGCTGCATGTAAAGCAGAGTTTTAAAGTAGTCAAATGAAATCTGAACACTCTTCTCAGCCTCTCTCTGCCTTATACCCCTTGTTATTTTGTATCAGCACGAAAACTTAACAGTGCAAAAACAAGCTACAAAATGCTAGCAGTACTCTCAGCCATCTGGATTGGGTTTTGTGGCCATTGTGGGCTGACAGATTTGTGCCGAATAACGAATATGTCCTATATTCTTTCAGATGACAGTTGGCTGGAGATTACAGCAGATGATCTAGATCAGATGCTGAAGGAGGCAAGAAATGAGTCCCTTCCTTCCTCAAATGAGGAAGAGCAGAAATACGACTTGGAAGCAGTTGCTGAAAGTATGAAGGCTTTTGTATCCAAAGTCTCACCACATGAAGGAGCAGAAATGCCATGGCAGTAGTATTTTTAAGTTTGGTGTGTGGTGTAGAATGTGTTTTCATTCTGCTGTAGCCCTTTGGTTGATTCTGTAATGCGCAGAATCAACGTTTGAAAGCGTTCTGCGTAGCAGAGGCCTGAAACAAACCCCTGTTACCAGTGAATATGTAGTTGCTTTTAAACCAGTTTGGTCACCACTCTGACAGTGGTGCAGGTAAAAATGCTGGAAGCTGTGTTATTTTCCAGCACTCTTACTTAGTTTGGTTTTGTGGTTTTTAAAATTTTTTTAACGCTTTTAAATTGAAGGCTTGGTGTTGTTCATTACAGTAGTTCTTAGCACTGTTATTAAAATGCATATCTCAAGTTCATCTGTGCTGAAATTTTTCTGCCATGAAGGACTGTTCAGACTAAGATTCTACTGATGAAGCTGTGAAGAAATAAAAATGAAACTTAAGTTGGGGTAACTTGTGAATTAAGACTATTGATTTTTGTGGTACAGTTGAATTTAGATTTCCTGTAGATTAGTATTTTGAATATACTAGGCCTGCTTTTCCACACCTAAAGCACATACTGTACACCTAGAAGCAGGAGCAAAGAATCAAGTCACTGTGGATCCCTGTCATTGTTCCCAACAGTGGGAGTGCTAACTGAAGATACCTAGCTAGTTAGGCAACAGCAGAATGCCGCTAGATTAAGTGCTGGAGTTAAGAAAGTGTGTGTGACTGTGGTGTGGACAGGCCTTTAATTTTAAAAACCAAAGGGTGATGTAGGAGCATATTGTCCAAGTTCTTTTTAATAGCTTTAATATTGAGAAAATAATGCTGTGTAGACTGTATCGAGCGTATAAGGGTCTACTCAATTTATACTCTTAATTGTTTGATCCTCTTTAATTACTGTTAGTGTCAATGTCTGAGTTATAATGTGGACTTTTGTCAGTTATTTAAAAAATAAATGAACAAAAAAAAAAACAACAAAAAAAAGGCAAACCACTGAGCTTAAAAGAGACTAGAATGAAGCCTGCAGTGTTCTTTCTAGGCAGGAGACCTCCAGGATTCTCAGCTTTTTAAATCTTTGTCTAAGGTGTACCACCACCACTCCGTTCCAGAAAGATTCAGGCATGTTTATTTTGGTTCCCTTCGGTGCAATTTTTATTTGACCACAATAAACGGTTAAAGTTGTTGGGTTTATTTTCTCTTTCATGCCAGGAACTCCTCCCGTTGCTGTTTCGTTCCTAGTTCATACAGGCCTCAGACTTCTAAGCACTTCTAAGACCATCAGTTCAAATGTTCCAACTTCAGTCTAGGCTCGAGAGAAATCTGTATGCCGTATGGGTTATGTCTGTGTCAGCTTATGCAAGCCTAAAAGCTTTATTTATTTAAAAATTTGTTTAGATTTCAGGTCACCTGATGAATCCCATGTTACCTTTGATGTAGATTCTTTTACAAAAGCGTTAGACAGAATTTTAGGTGAGATTGCTTCTTGGTTTCTTTTGTCAGAATATCTCATGGTTATTTGGCTTTCCTGGGTCATCCATCCGTCACCCATGGTCGCTGTGCTGATTTGTTTGCTATCTGTACTGACACAAAATAATATATATGTAGGGGCAGACTCAGAAGAGCTGGATTCTGATGATCTGGATGAAGAGGAGGAGTTTGATTTCTCGAACGAGGATGATGAAGACTTAGATGTGGAAGATCAAAGGCAAGACCAGGAAGTGCCGCCTGATGAGCTTATAGGCAGTCTCAAGTCATACATGAGTGAGATGGACCGTGAACTGGCACATACCAATGGTGGTAAAAGTTTCCCCGTCCAAAAGAGAGGGGTAAGTATGCCTCAAGTTCTAGTTTGTAGCATAAAGTGTTGAGAGCTTTGGTAGGAAAGAGGAAGTATACTAAAAGTGATCATTCCGAGTAATGTAATCAAAAACTTGTGTCTTCTAATCATGTGCTAACTAATTATTAAAAAATAAAGCGAAAATCACATGCGCAAGCAAAATGTGCTGCAGCTGCACCATGGTGTATTTTTCTGGGGGGGTGGGGGCATGGGAAGAAAACCAATTTAGGGAAGCTTTAACTTGCACATTCTTTCCAAGACTTAGTTGCATTTCCCTGTTTTACCCTGTGTCAGTAGTAAGGCAAGCAGCTGCAGCTTGACTATTTGAGTTCCTGTAGAAGATCATGCCCATAGGAAAGTGAGCCAGGACTCAGTAACCCTCTATGTCCTTCTCTTGGAACTTTATCTGTATAATGGAAAGTGATGATTTTTAACTGGCATGAGCATTTGGTGACTAAATTCCTGTCTGTCAAGACAGTGTGGAACATACTGAACTTTGTTGGCTGCAGAACTGTCTCCTTGTTTTCTTCTCTCTTGTGGTTTGTCTTTTTTTTTTTAAAACCTGCTTATAAAGTTTTATAAAACTTTGTCTTTATACTTACTATAGGCAAGTTCTGTTAATGCAACTACGTCTCAAAGTGCTGGCCCTGATGATACTGAGTTGATACCAGTTGATGTGGATCAGAACCTGGTAGCTAACCTGATCAAATCCTACAGTGCTCAATCTGGACTGGCAGGACCCACCTCTAACATTTTACAGAGCACGGGAGTATGTTTACCTGAAAATGCAGATCATATTGGCTCTAACAATAGAGCCACAGAATAAAAGGCTGTCTTAGTGCAGAAAACATGGCTGATTGAGAAATGAAGCACAGAAAAACTAGCAGTATTTGGAATAAGAGACAAAAGGTTTGAACTTAAAACATTTATGCTTTAGTTATGTGACTTTAAAGATACAAAGTGAATTTGCCTGCAAAAGCCATCTGTTTGGATACTATCTTGGATAGAAATCAGATTTTTCCAGTGCCATCATGTTTTGAGAAAACTGAAAAATGATGTTATGACTGAAATGAAACTTTTATTACAAAAACCTGTCTTCAGTTTTTTCAGATCAGTGATACAATTTGCCATATTTCTGAAATGTCCTTTACCCATTACTAGGTGGTTTCAATACCTGTAAAGCAGCTCATGGTCTGAAAATGCCTCTGCCTTCAGGGGGAGATGGAGGAATACCATATTATAGGAACAGTGTTCTCTTGTGGATTTTTCAACACTGGTTAAATGTTCAGCAAACACTTAATTGCTTTTCCAAAAGTACAAGGCTTTGTTCTAAGAACTTCTGATAATTACTGTAAGAACCTGTTCTTTATTAATCAGGAGGATTTGAAGAGTAATTGGATTGAACATGTAAATATTTGCTCTAAGTATTTTTTAAAATTTATTTGAATAAAAGCAGAAATACAACTTGATTACTGGATCTGGGTTGTTTTGTTTTGTTTTTCTTTGAAGGTATGCATAACTTCCTCAGTGCAGTATCAGAAGTTCTTGGAGCTATCCTCTTCCCTGTTGCTAAACACCCTCCGTGCCTCATCTAGTAAAGTCTCCAGGTTCCTGCTTTCTGCAGGCTTCAATTTCTGCAACTTCCTCCGGATGTCGCTTGCTGATTGTCTGATGAACAGAGACCCTGACTGCTGAATCCCTATTTCTGACCCTGGGTCTAGAGGAGTATGCTGCCTCATAGTATCCTGTAATTTATCTAAAAATTCAGAGGGGGTATCCCTTGGACCTTGCCAAATGGCATATAAAGCTGACCAATTAATTGTTTTCAGGGTAGCCCGCTCCATTCCTCTTCCAACCCAATCTCTGTATGTATTCAGCAATCTTACGTGTGCCCCTCTGTTAGGGTTCCAACGTGGGTCTTGTAAGGGGAAATATTCTTTTATATCCTCCCCTGTATTCTTAATAAAGTCACTAGCCAGATCTTGGACTGTTTTCAGTATCAGCTGTTTCTCCGTTTCTGTCATATGGTCTAATAACAATTGAATATCATCCCAGTCAGGATTATGCTGTTTTATCAGAAACTGGAAATGTTTAGTGACCCCCACAGAATCACTGCGATAGTTTTTTGCCCCATTTTTCTATGTTTCAAGATCAAATGAGGAGAAGGGAACCTTTATTAAGACAGGCTCTCTGCTTTGTCCCACTGCTTCCCTCAGAGGTGCTTGTACCACTACTTTTTCTTTTTTACTCTGGGTGTAAGAGGAGACTGGACTACCGAAGGGTTCCCGTATCAGAGTCCTCACTTTTCTCTTGTATTTTTACCAGAGGTTTGTAATGTTCCAGCAGGTCTCCTGCTTCAGGATCCCTTATTTTCCCCAATCTCGTACATCTCTGACCTATACTGCATGCTGAACAACACCTCTTGAACTTTCCTTTTCCTTCCTTCATATTTTCTTTCTCTAAAGCCAAAACCATTGGATCCTATGGGCTCATCAGTCCACAGGCTGTTTGGTACTCGGGGTGATTTTGGAGGGTAAAGAACATGTCCGTGTATGAGACTTCATCCCACTTTCCCTCTCTCCTCAAAAACAACATTAGTATGTTTCCCAGGTTCCCACAATACGCTTTTTTAAGCTGACCTGAGTGCTCAATTCTGTCCCAGTCAGACCAATTCCCTTGACATTTATTACACTAAAAATCATTTCCAAACTTTACCGAGACTTCTCTTCCCCATTCAAAACATGCGCTTCGTTCATCTCCTGCCGCTCTCCTCGCAGAGAACATGGAATTGCAGATCGGAACTCCACACTTGCTTCGCAGTCAGACTGCGTCTCGTTCATACAACAGTCACACAGTCACACAAAGAGGCCCCAGTGATCACAACATAAACCTCAACACATGATGTACGGTACCAGATTTTTACAACAGATTACAACAACAATGGTTGCAACCCCCTGCTCCTGCCACCGTGGCCAGGAGAACCCAAGCTACCGTTGGTCAGGGTGTCCTACTTACCCTGCCACCACCTTTTGGGGACTCAAACCCCAGCCTCCCCGGGGTGAGCACCAATGCTCTTTACCTCGCGTAGGACGTCTCCTCAGGGCTTACAGATATCCCCTCCTAAATCCACATCCCTGGTCCCCCGAGGGTCCCTGTCTGCCCCCGCAGTGATCGAATGAGCGAGGGAGGTCCTCTGAGAAGCCTCGGGGCGCGCCTAGGACGTCCCCCTCTCAGCCAGTCCTGCGGCCGGGCAGAGAGGGTCCCACTGGGGTCGCCAAATTGAAGCGCGGAAACAAACTCTGCAACTCACAAAGAGTCATAAAGCAGGTATGTTTATTGCAGTGCTGGGTGTGAGGGGGATTGCTCCTCCTAGCTTGCACACCAACAGCACACTTTGCCAAAAATTTATGCAATGCAGATATACATATTCATGGGATTACGCAACACAAACATACGTATATATGAGCAAGGTGGGCTTAGTTTGCACAGACTCAGATCTGTCTCTGGTGGTCATTTACTTCTTCAGGGGTCTTATCTTCCTCTTCCTCTTTTGTCCTTTAGATGAAATTTAGCCATTCACGCATGCTCTATTTGTACTTGGTGATCTCAGCAGCCTTTTAACCAGTTTTTTGGTCAAGCTGACACCGTTATTCTTGTTATCCCCCCCTGCGTCTAACACACAGTCCTTAGCGAATACCAGTCCCTGATAAGCTTAGGCACCAGTCTCTAATAAACAAGTTTCAAAAGAACACTCAAGGCGTCAAAATAACATTCAAGGCAAACAAAATTTTTCCGAAATTGCAAAGCAGTTATTTCCCTGTATCACTACTTGTGACCTTAGGTCAAGTACTGCTCTTAAGCTGTGCCTTAGGGCATTGGGAGCCAGGAGCTGTATGTTCTCTGTTTGGAAGGCACCTGGGCAGTGTCTGTGTTACAGCCCGGGTTGGGATTTTTCTGGAGCAGCCCCTTCTCTCCCTGCTCTGAATCTAGGCATTTGAGAGATAGCCAGTACGGCTGAACAATCTGGCTTGGTAGGTGTCATGGTTTGAGCCTGGTCGGCAGCCAAACACAGTGCAGCTGCTTGCCCACCCTCTGCCACTTGGGAATGGGGAGGGAATTGGAGGGGCAAAGGGAGACTCACGGGTTGAGATAAAAACAGTTTAATAACAGTAATAAAATAATACGGTGACAGTATAAATGGGTAATGTACAATGCAATTGTTCACCACCCGTCGATTGACACCCCACCCGTTCCTGGCTAGCGATCCCATAGACAAATACAAAGCTTGACTCATCTGGGGCTTGCCAGTGTCCTCACAAGTGACTCCTCTGGCAAACCAACGTCCTTGAGGAAACAGCTGGTTTGTGGCTGTAGTGCAGAGTTTACTTTTGCTATTAAAACATTAGGAAGTCCTCTGCTGATTAAAGGATGAAACCTCTTAGGGTCTGCCACACACTGCATGGGGGAGGGCTGTCATGGGCACAGCAAGTGGTCATGCATTAATTGGAGGCAAGCAGTTTTCTGCACGCTTTCCAAAATGTGACCTGACGTGGGTGTTTTAATACAAAAAGGGTCCCCTCTTTCCATTGGGTCTAATTCTCCTGCCCAATAAACCACCCTCTGGGTCAAGGACCAAGGTTCATGGTTATCACTGGTAGTTAATAAAACTCCAGGTCCCCAGTATCCTCTAGCTTCATCTTAGCTTGACAGAATATGATTTCTCCTGGTGAGGGAGACTCTCCAGACCTACTCTGTTTCAGTTTGTCAGGGGGCTTGAGAGTATTTTTCCTGTATTTTGGCCAAACCCAAAAATCCCAGTTCGCTATCCCGATCAGAGCCCGGATCTATCCTCTCATCAAACACCTGCCTGTTTTCTTGCAATTCATACTGTAAGATTCTCTCTCAGTCTAGTGAATTTGGAAAAAATTGCATGAAGCCTCTGAGGAGTGTTATGTTCAGCAGTGAGATGACTTTGCAAGTTTCTTATCTGCTCTTGCAGGCACTCAATTGTCTCTTTCTCTGCTTGCTTTTCCTTTCCAGCTGCAATTAATACAGCCCCTAGAACAGCACAGATGGTTGCTTTTCCTTTCCCCAATCCCAGTTTTCATTCCTTTGCCAAAAGTGTGATCCTATCCACCAATGCCTGCGAGTCATGCCAATTCTCTTGGGCCCAAGCCATGCCAAGAGGAGAGGACAGGGATTTATAGCCCTTCAATTTCTCAAGGAGGGGCTTCTCCACCATTGTTGGATCCCCAAATCGATCCCGACAACAACTGTTACACAATACGAAGGGGTTACTCTAAAGTATTCGGCCTAGTGTGCGTTTATGGACCCAGCGTGGATCTTTCCAACAAGATCCACTGTCCTCTCTCCTGTCAGGTACTTCCTTAAAGAAGGGGCCATGCTAAGGTCCCTGATCCCTTCTGGCTGGTTCAATATCACAAGGGCATCCTGTCTGTGACATCAATTTAGAAATGCTGCAGCCCAAAAGAAGCTGTTCAAAACACCCTCCCTCCCCTTGGGACCTACGACCAAGTTTGAGATACCCTCATACTGAATTGAGGTGAAACACCACCAGCCAACCCATTTAACAATTTATTAATACAAAAGACATGGCAAGTGGTTAGATACAAATACTCAATGGCAACTTCTTAACTAGGTAAACAAGTCCCATGCTTAGTTGGAGCTAGTTACACTTTGTTAAAGAAAGGAGAAGAGAGAAAGAGAGAGAGACAGAGACAACTTGTCTGTTAGATTTCCCTTCCCTTCCTTAATACAATGCTTAAGGAACCGTCCTGGATCTTTGTGGCTAGCCCAAGTAATTAAGAACCTGGGCGTCACAAGGATGAGGCAGGTCTTAATATTCAGAGCGTATCCACGCCTGTACTTATCATTGTAAGATGTTTCAAGGCTCCCAACAATGTACATTTTCGGTTACAGTCCCTGTATACGCACAAGACTAGTGAAATACTCAAGCTGCCCAAGAGAGGGTATTGACATAGCCAAAAGCTTCAGCATGATGAGGTTTTGCAAAATCAAGTTCTTTCACAAAACAGTTTTTATTAACTCTGTGCTCCACCTTCCTGCATGGAGCCTCCATAGGAGACAAGAGGACGGCAGAGTTTGGATCACTTGGAGTTAAGTCCACTAGGGTAGCAGAATCACGGACGCTTCCGAGAGAAATTTCACCCAATTCCTTCAGTGAAGCAGGTGGGATTAGAGGGCAGGCATCTCAAGCTCTGAAGATGTTCTCAATGAGCTACTCCACATCTAGGCTCTACAGCACCAGGTCAGTCAGGATGGCCTGTTCCACCATCACCTTGCTGATTTTCTCCTCCTCCTGAGAAGAAGTTGGTTTTTCATCCAGAACATTTTCAAGCATCTCTTGATACACAGCAGAACTGGAGGGAGCTGGATCACTCGACCCAGAAGTTGTGGTGGTCAAATGCTCTTCAAATTAATCAGTCCCGTTAGCGGTGTCCTCATTAAGAAGCAGCCCACTGCCTGCCACCTCCTCCAGAGCTTGGTCCTCCGTGGTGAGGCTGCATGGCATCGTGGCACACAACGCTAACGGCTTCCCCTCTGAGTCCCACGTGGACTCCAGGCACTGCTCATCTCTCACAGAGCTCTTCTGAGCCATCCCCATGCCCTGCAGCAAAGCTTCCAGTTTCCTGTTTTCAATGCTTATGTCTATGAAGTATTTCTGAAATTTTTTCTCTTTCTCAGCCAAGCTGTTTCTCATGCTTTCAACAGCCTGCTGGAGTTCCTGACTTTCCCTTCTCGCTTCCCAGAAGTGCAGCTCCAGCTCCACATGCTTACACTCTTCCTCAACCCAGTCTTCCTTCATCCGTGCCAGATGAGCCTTGAGCTCTTCTATTTCTGTTTCCCTGCAGCAAAAGCAAAATGCAGTGGCAGTGCTGTGGACGGTCAGTGAAAGAGTGCAGCGCTTGCCGTCAGGCCTCCTGCCTCGCCCTGGAGGC